GTCTCCAAATTGAGTAGCCCCTTGGGAATATGACCTCATTTAAAATTACATCTTCAAGTTTTGTCTCCGTGAGTGCAACAATGTCTGGTGTCTGCAGCTGTATTACATCACTTAACTCCAGTATCTTCGATCTCACTCCATCTATGTTGGTGTATGCAATCTTCAGGAACTTGTTCCCCCTCTCCTTATTCTTCACTCCCCCTCTCTCTATTGATTTTGTTGGTTTGCCTTTATGTACCACTTTACTGGTTTGCCTACCCCTATCACTTTGTAGAAAAAAGAATTTATTTCTTCTTCATTCCTGCTCTCATTTAAATGTTTTGCCTCGGCAAGGTTCAGTTTCAGCTTCTCTCTATCTTCTTTTGAAAGATCTCGTCTTAATGACCACCCTTTCCCATCCTCATCCCTTTGCAATTTTCTAGCATTCCTTAGTACTTCTTCCATCTGTTTGGCACCGTTTAGGGTGATCCTCAAAGGTCGATCTTTCCCTTTTACGTACCTGCCTATTCTCCTGTAGTCGCACACATTCTCTCTGTTTGTAAGACCTTCCACGAGGCCAACAATTTTATCTACTACTTTAGCTTCTTCTACAGCTCTTTCTGACCTAGATGTTATCGCCTTTTCTTTGCAGCCAAAAATGATCAGGGACTTACTCCGATCAACTGTGTTTTGCACCAACTTCGGGTTAGATGCCAATTCTTTCCTCACTTCTAGCCTAATGTTTGTTTTATCTTGGTTGCTGCAGTGGTTCTGTGTGGTGGTATGCAAGCCAGGAGTAACACTAGAGTACTGGAGCTGCATGCGCCTAGGGCCACCTTCCCTAGGTGCTCTGTAAGGCCCTTGCGGTATAGGGTTATCTTTCATAGGCCGTTCAGGAGTCTACCTCCTTGTGGTTCTTTTGCTGCTCGGTGATTGCCCGCCATTGGGGTCAGCTGGGGTTGTTCTTACTCTTGTTTGACCTTGGGTAGGAGGTAGTATCGTCACTGATTGGGGTACAAGGTACTGTGCAGCGGTCTGATATACGCATAGTGGCCGGTTCTGTTTTCCTAGAACGTTTTGCTTCTGCTGGGTTTTTCTATTTCTTGTGTTTTGTTTTGCCTGGTGGGAGGCCTTCCTGGTGGGAGGTCTGCCTGGTGTGGCTGTAGGACCACTTGTATGATTTTTGTGGCCCTTCGCTAGGACCCCATGATTGCACACGTCACAGGGGGTTCAGCTTTTAGTTTGTTTGCTTGGTAGCTCTGAAATAACCAGTTAGCAGTACCTTGTTTGGACTTCCCTTAGCAGTCAGCCTAAGGGCCTTTTACCCATTGGGACTCATTGGTCCGAACGAGGAGATCTCTGAATCTCGCCTCACTTCGTGCAAGTTTGAAGGGTGCTCTGTCCCCCTTGTGACATTCAAGGATGGTGACATTCACCAGCTTTGCCTCCGTCATGCTGCCTGTTGGGTCAATGACATCTTTGTCCCAGAGTCTTATGAGTGGTGTTCCTTGCATGTACTCCAATTCACTCAGTCCGATAATACTGTTGATCGGGTGCAGGCAGCATCTGCATTGTGTGTGCAGTTTGGCTTGCTGCGACACTCTAGGTTACTTGCCTTTCCGGATGTCCCACACTGCCCCGCTTTGGTTATAAAGACCTGGACTTGAAGGTGTTAATCGCCTCGACTCTGGTTCAGTCCACACCCCCCTCATCCTCTGTTGTGGTTCATTCTGATCCTCCCCCCTCACCCTGCTTCCGGCCCCAAATTGGATTGGCTTGAGGAGGATGTGGAGGTGCTTAGGGCCATTCCTGGGTCTGGTGCCTTGGTCTCGGCGGCACCGTCCCATCTGAACCCCTGGGTCTATTGCCCCCTCCTTTTGGATGACTACTCTGTCCCAGGTCCGGCTTCTCTTGGAGCCAAGTGCTTGGATGTAGCCCCTGGACCTCTGAGACGCATATTGGCACGTCCCGATTCATCCGGGGTTCAGGGACTGGCTCGGTTTTGCTGTGAGACATCAGGATTACTGCTTTTGTTGCTTTTTGGCTTGAATTTGTCACTTCGCATTTTCACACTCCTTACCCCGGGTTGTGATGGCCAGTCTGTGTCTATTAGGGGTTCGGGTTCTGGCCTGTTTTAACGACTGGCTGGTCTGTGCTCCCAGCTGGTCCGCATTTCTGATCGCCAGGGATTTGGTTCTTTCCCAGCTCACCGGGTTTGGGATCCTGGCGAACTGGAGGAGTCCCATCTAATTCCCTCTCAGGTTTGGTCTTGGCTGGGTCTTGTGTGGGACTCTTGGACTGCTTCCTTGTCTCTCCCTCCTTCGCTTGTTTCTGGGAGGCTCCTGGGTCACTTACAGGTTGCCCGAGGATTTGTGCAGGAGCCTGAACTTTGCCATGATGGCCTACTCGCTGGGTCGGGTTTGGCTTAGTCGGCTATTCTGGTTCCCTATGGGATGTCTCTTCTGCCTTTCTCACGATCGCTGGGTTTGGCCTCCGGGTGCCTTGCGTCAGCTGCTATGTCACCGGCTTCCTTTAAGGGTTTTTCAGGGTTTTCGGGGTTCTGCCTTGGTGCCTGACATGTCGTCTCTTGGCTGGGGCTTTGTGACAAGTGCTCACCAGGCCGGCCAGGGTCAGTGGGGTCCATCCTTCCATCGGGCCTACAGCACAGTGCAGGAGTTTGTGGCCATGTGGATGTCGCTTCGGAGAGTTCGGGTTGCTTGCGGATCGATGATCCGACTCCATTTGGACTGCTCCCCCTGTGGTTCATCGGGTGACACGTTTGCTAATTTCTCTGGGTTTATCTCTCCTGGCCCTTCGCGTTCGGAGGGTGTCCAATGTCCTGGTGAATAGCCTGTCTCGGTTCATTCCCCCCTGTCCACGGAATGGACACTCGATGCCGACTCATTCAGTTGACTCTGCCGGACATATGGGCTCCCGGAGGTGGACCTCTTTGCATTGGCATGGTCGAGGCGTCTCCCAGTATAAGTGACGCCCTTCCCCGACTGCAAAGCTGTCAGGGTCGATGCCTTGGGGCAGGACTTGTCGAGGTGGGGTTACCTGTTAAACCTGTCTCCCTGGTTAGACTTACCAAGGAAAGTAGTCCTCTTGGCTCCTTGGTGGCTGGCCCAGCCTTGGTTTTAGGCGCTGTTTGCTCAGTGTCCGAACCCGAGGGTCTTCCCGGGGCTCCGCCTTTTCAGCAGATCAGTCAAGTCTGTTACGTGGCTGATTCGATCTTCTCCTTGAGTCTTCGCGTTTGGTCTTTCTGACTCGAGTCTATCACCACTTGTATGGTGAGCAGGTGGCTTTGTTGATGGTGTCCCACCTGCGTGATTAGTCTCGGTGGCAGTATGAAGTTTCCTGGCAGTCCTTTCATTATTTCCATTATTTTTTGCCCCTTTGTCGGTTTACTTCTGTCTCTGATTAGGTTGTTTAGTCCTTCCTTTCGTGTTATTCCAGAACCGGCAGGACCGTCATGCCGAATACTGTCGCCTCGTATCGTGCGTCGTCGGCGGAGCTGCTGCAGCTTGCGTTTGGCATTGATGTTACTTTTGCACCCTTCCGCAAGCTGTCTCGGGCATTGTTTTACCTCTGGCCTGCTCGTGTGCCGCCTGAATCGTCTTGGTCCTTGGATTTGGTGTTCTCTTTTCTCTTTCTCCCCCCTCGGTTTGTGGTGGCTCCCCCTTTGGTTTAGGATTGTTTCTTCAAGGCTCTTTTCTTATTAGCATTGTCCTCTGGGGGTTGGGTCTGGGAGCTTCGTGCTCTCCTCTAGCGCAGGGGTTTCTGCTCTTTTGGTCCAGGTGGTAGGTATGTTCGTTTGCAGCTGTCTCCTTTTTTTATTGCGAAGAAGGAAACGGCTGCTTTCTGGAGGGGGTCCTTGGATTGTTGATGCTTGGTTGATTCGGCCAGGGGTGCATCATGTGTTATGTTCGGTCGCGGCTCTCTGCTGTTACCTGCGCGCCATGGCCTCTGTGGCTGGGAATGCCCTTTGGGTTGAACCGTTTTCCCCTCTTCCCTGTTCCAGGGGTTCGTGTTTCTCAGGTTGTCCCCAGGGTTATTCGGTCTAGCCAGCCTGTGGTCTACCCCCGTGCCTACGGCGTTCGTAGGTTTGTTGTACTGGCTGCCATCTTTGGTAACATGTCTTGGGCTGACATTCGGGCACAGTGTTTTTGGTGGTCGAATAGGGTCCTGGCCACTCGCTACCTTGTCAGTGTTCTGGGGCCGAGTCGGGCCTGTGTCGCTTTGGGTTGGCAAGTGCAGCCAGTTGTCTCGAGTTTGAGTTGAGGTGCGAGTGCTGACCGCCTCCCGGGTAAGTCCCTCTTGTTTTTGCCCTTTGGTAAATAGCTCCATGGAGCCAAAGGGGCTCCCCCCCAGAAAACCAGCGTTGAATGTAATGAAATGCCATTTTCTGGGTGAGACCTGGAGGCTCCTCGGCAACCCTCCCTCCCTCCAGTCAGTGGTTTTTCTCATGTTTTTGACATTCAGCCTCAGAACTGGGGTGTGGATAGCCGGCGTGAGGGTCTGGGGCTCCCCCTTTCCCCTCCTGGGGAGGGGGGGAACTGGCCAAACAGCGTGGCGGTGACATGGTGACATCGTGCTCGTTGGCTCATTTTCATTTTGGGGAGTTCTGTCGAACAGTTCGGCTTTCAGTAGCAATTTCTTAATCAGAATTGGGATTTGTTTTGAGGCACTTATCTTTTTGGGAGCCTGACCCGGTCAATGGCAAACAAAGAATGCTGCCTACCACACAGGGGTTTCTATAGGCCATTCCTCCTCGTACCTCTTTGTGGGGATCAGGTTCTGGCTTGTGGTCTCCTGTAGGCCTAAGAATTCCATTCGCTTGACTGATGCCAGGGTCTAATACATTCATATCAGCTCGGATAGCTCCGGGAAGCCTGTGGGTGTCAGCCAGAAAATGGCGTTTCATTACATTCAACGCTGAGTTTTTAGACCATTGAAAGTTGAACAAATATATAGACATCTAAGATTATATTTTAGCTGAACATTTTTTTCTCACTTTACAGATAGCATCTTCTCACAAGCTTTCATGTCAAGAGTAGCTGCTGAACGTCATAATCGAGTGTTGGGTCGCAGCATGGAAGCCTCAGCCCCATCATCCCCATCCCATTCCCCGTCCCACCAGCCTGGCCCATGTTCCACAACGGTTCTTCTTCTGGTAATTCATGCTGGATCCGTCCTTGACCCAACATCAGGCAAGTATACATACTGTCAGATGCTTTACAAGGTTTATAACAGCCTTGTCCAGCCAGGGTCTTCCTGGCTAGTGGACAATCATGTTTTCTCCCGAGTTTTGGTGCAGTTTCTGTGGAGAGGCCCTCCAGCTCTCCGGGTTGATGTGTATATATTAGACCATGGCAACAGTCAATCGATGGAGTTCTTAGTCTACTGGGGACCACAAGCCAGCACCCCCTATGTAGTTGGGAGCAGTCCGTCTGCCATCTATCAGGTCAGGCAGCCCAGGAAGGTAGGAATCTAAAAACAAACAGCTGGTTAAAAATTGCAAGCCAAAAGTCGAACGAGCAAGCGGAATTCCCCAATCAGAAAACAAGCAAACAAGCATGACGTCACCACAGCCGCCACACCTCTAACAGAGACGTTAGAAAGAATTTTTTCAGTGTCAGAGTAGTTAATAAATGGAATGCACTAGGAAGTGATGTGGCGGAGGCTGACTCCATACACAGTTTCAAGTGTAGATATGATAGAGCCCAGTAGGCTCAGGAATCTGTACACCAGTTGATTGACAGTTGAGAGGCGGGACCAAAGAGCCAAAGCTCAACCCCCGCAAGCACAATTAGGTGAGTACCTCTGTCTGAGCAGCTTCCCCCCCCCTTTCCCAGGAGGGAGAAGGGGAAGGGGGCCCCAGACTTCCCGTGCCAGTTGCCCAACTCCAGTTATGAGGCTGTTGTATTGGGTGGCAGTCGATCGACTCTGGGTCCAATCCTTGAGCAGTGCTGTGCCTTGTGGTGGTGTGCGAGCCAGGTGTAATTCCCGAAGTACTGGGGATGCATGCACCTAGGGGTCACCTTCCGTAGGTGCTCTATAAGTACTGACCTTGCAGTTTGAGGTTACCTTCCATGAACTGTTCAGAGACTACCTCCGCAGGGTTCTTTTGCTGCTCAGTGATTGTCCGCCCTTGGGGTCAGCTGGGGTTTTCCTACCCCTGTTTGGCCTTGGGTAGGAGGTAGTATCGTCGCTGGCTGGGGTGCAAGGGACTGTGCAGCTCTCTTAATACACTCAGCAATCAGTTCTGTTCCTCCTGGAGGTGTTGTGCTTTTGCAAGGTGTTTCTTTTCTTTTCTTTTGTTTTATTTTGCCTGTGGGGGGGTCTGCCTGGTGTGGCTGTAGGACTACTTGTATTATTTTGATGGCCCTCCGCTAGGTCCCCATGATTGCACACATTGCAGGGGTTCAGATTTTTTTTATTTGTTTGCTAGTTCTGGGTTAACCAGTTAGCAGAACCTTGCTTGGGTTTCCCTTAGCAGTTGGCCTAAGGGCCCTGGAAACCCAAATTGGGGCTCAGTGGTTCGATGGATGCGTCCTCTGAGTCCCATCTCGCTTTGTGCAAGTTTGAAGGTTGCTCTGTCCCCTTGCCTCAGGGTGACACTCAATGTTTTTGCCTCCGCCTTGCTGCCTGATGCCTTTGACCCGGAGTCCTGCAAGTGGTGTTACTTGCTTGTACTCCAGTTCAACCAGTCCACCGCTATTGATATTCGGGTACAGGCACAGCTCTAGCACAAGACGACGGAGCCATGTTGTTGGGGCCCGTGCTGATGGTGGCGGTGGTGTTGGGGCCCGTGCTGATGGTGGCGGTGGTGTTGGGGCCCGTGCTGATGGTGGCGGTGGTGTTGGGGCCCGTGCTGATGGTGGCGGTGGTGTTGGGGTCCATGCTGATGGTGGCGGTGGTGTTGGGGCCTGTGCTGATGGTGGCGGTGGTGTTGGGGCCCGTGCTGATGGTGGCGGTGGTGTTGGGGCCCGTGCTGATGGTGGCGGTGGTGTTGGGGCCCTGTGCTGATGGTGGCGGTGTTGTTGGGGCCCGTGCTGATGGTGGCGGTGTTGTTGGGGCCCGTGCTGATGGTGGCGGTGGTGTTGGGGCCCGTGCTGATGGTGGCGGTGGTGTTGGGGCCCGTGCTGATGGTGGCGGTGTTGTTGGGGCCCGTGCTGATGGTGGCGGTGGTGTTGGGGCCCCGTGCTGATGGTGGCGGTGGTGTTGGGGCCCGTGCTGATGGTGGCGGTGGTGTTGGGGCCCCGTGCTGATGGTGGTGTTGGGGCCCGTGCTGATGGTGGCGGTGGTGTTGGGGCCCGTGCTGATGGTGGCGGTGGTTTTGGGGCCCGTGCTGATGGTGGCGGTGGTGTTGGGGCCCGTGCTGATGGTGGCGGTGGTGTTGGGGCCCGTGCTGATGGTGGCGGTGGTGTTGGGGCCCGTGCTAATGGTGGCGGTGGTGTTGGGGCCCGTGCTAATGGTGGCGGTGGTGTTGGGGCCCGTGCTGATGGTGGCGGTGGTGTTGGGGCCCGTGCTGATGGTGACGGTGTTGTTGGGGCCCGTGCTGATGGTGGCGGTGGTGTTGGGGCCCGTGCTGATGGTGGCGGTGGTGTTGGGGCCCGTGCTGATGGTGGCGGTGGTGTTGGGGCCCGTGCTGATGGTGGCAGTGGTGTTGGGGCCCGTGCTGATGGTGGCGGTGGTGTTGGGGCCCCGTGCTGATGGTGGCGGTGGTGTTGGGGTCCGTGCTGATGGTGGCGGTGGTGTTGGGGCCCGTGCTGATGGTGGCGGTGGTGTTGGGGCCCGTGCTGATGGTGGCGGTGGTGTTGGGGCCCGTGCTGATGGTGGCGGTGGTGTTGGGGCCCGTGCTGATGGTGGCGGTGGTGTTGGGGCCCGTGCTGATGGTGGCGGTGGTGTTGGGGCCCGTGCTGATGGTGGCGGTGGTGTTGGGGCCCGTGCTGATGGTGGCGGTGGTGTTGGGGCCAAAAGCAAAATCACTAGTGTACTTGTGTCGGAGGATTGAGAGAGGTTTGTCACACAAATTCCAACATTTGATGGTACCAATATTGGTGTGACACCCTTATTCCCGTATACTGGTGATGATATGGCTGAAGTTGACTATTTTATGGCATATTTTGATCAAGAATTCATGGACCATCTCAATGCAGAGACGAACAGATATGCTCACAGCATATCTGTTCTTCTTCGGCATTTTACCTGCCTTTCACATGACACGATGGAAAGACACGACAAATGAGGAAATGTACATGTTTCTCGCATTGAGTATGATGATGAAACATCCTGAAATCACGTGATCCAGGATTATTGGAGCAAAGGCTGCCTTGTTCCATCCCCTGTATTCAACAGGTACATGTCATGTGATAGGTTCCTGCTGCTTCTCACTTTGAGAACAATGATAATGAAGACAGACAGGACAGACTGTGGAAGGTGCAGAAGATATTTAGTGATATGAGAGGAAAGTTCCGTGACCTGTACAGAATGTCATGATTGATGAATTGCATCCTCTTCAAAGGATGACTGAAGTTCAAGTAGTACAGTCCATCAAAGTGGCACTGGTTTGGACTCAAGCTTTTCGTGCTATGTGATTGCAAAACTGTTATTTTCATGGACATGATACTGTATTCAGGTACAGATGTTGACATATCAGGTCAAGATCCACACGGGTTCTCAGGCAGTGTCGTGAAAACACTCGTGGAACCGTTGCTGAACAGAAGACATATCCTGTTCACGGACAACTACTATACCAGCCCCTTGCTGACCAGATTCCTCCTTGACAACAACACCGGCGTATGTCTCACTGTCAAGGCCCGCAGGAAGGAAAGGCCAGTGTTTGGCATTGGTATTACAGTGGGTGACTGCCAGCTGCCAAACTGAACAAATCTTATCAGTGTGCTGGAGGGACAGATGCGAGGTGAATATGTTGACAACTCTTCACACCGGTGCCATGTTGGATAGTGGCAAAGTGAACTTTGCAACACGGTTCCCAATATATATATAACCCTAATTTTGTCCTTGAATACAACGTAAATATGTAGCTAGTTGATGGCACCAACCATCATGTGACATGATAGTTGATGTTGTTGAGTGTGTGCAAAAATCTGTGAAGTAAATGAAGACATTTTTTTCACCTCATTGACGTCACAGTGCTGAACTGTTTCAATATGTATCTCATGAAATCTGGCAAGAGACCACCCAATACGTACTGTGCATTGAGTGTTGCTCTAGTGTCACAACTTCTCATGAAGTATGGGGTGGAGGGCAGTGTTGTGACGCTTGGGGTGCCAGCAACAATGCCTCACGCAGTTCCCGACAGACTCAGGGGTAAGGAAATTCTGGATGTATACAAGATTGGTTATTCAGGCACAGGATCATGGGACAAGGGTAAACGTGCCTGTGTTGTCAGCAAGAACACACAACGTAGGGAATGCAAGCGAAGATGCATCTGCACCTGGTGCGTTGAGTGCAAAGTTCCCCCTATGCCCTATTGACATTATTATTATTATTATTATTATTATTATTATTATATTATAGAATATACTTTGGTAAATATTTTATATTTGCCCCTCTGCAGTTTGGAAAAAAATTAATATTAATATGGTTGTATATTTTTAGATGTAACAAACAAGAGAAGTGATGTGACAACATTTCGAGGAGCGTTGGAGTCAGTGATGCGACAACACTATCCCCAGATGGTGGGCCATGTGGCTATTAGACTAGTAGCTGCACCAGCAGTGTGCTCTGATGCACTTAATATATTATCCAGGTTAGTGAAGTGAAGTTATTTATGGATGGAAAGTGAGTCTGATGCCAGTTGAAAATGAACATGCTTCCTCTTGCCACATTTTTTGGAAGGGGGCTGTAATGACGGGCATATAAAGGTTAGCTTTTGTTGTTATTAATGTAAATGTTTCTCTTGGGTAATATACCAGTTTGTTTTATTTGTGTTAATTTTTAGTATCATTTGTGTTTGAGAGTATGTATTAGTAAATGAGTATGATTCGTTGTGCAATGTTTTCCTGCACGTTTTCGTGAGAGTAGTGTCCCCGCACTCCACGAGGAAAGAGGGCTGAGACTCTCTCGCTTCCAGCCTAATGTTTGTTTAATAAATAAATAAAATAAATATGTTTATTCAGGTAAGGTATATACATACCTACAAGTGATGTTACATTAATGGATTGATATATAGATAGAGCTAGTACATACAATGCCTAAAGCCACTATTACGCAATGCGTTTCGGGCAAGAAAAACATTAATATCTAGAACTTAATACTAATTGAGCATAAAGAATAAAAAGTGTTGAGAACAAATACAAATAAAGATAAAAAAAAGGGGGAACATGACTGAAAAAGCAGCATAAATACAATAGGTTGACAAACAGTGTTGATTAAACAAAAAAAATTACAGACATGGGTTGACAATAGAGGAGTGAGGTAGGTTACAGGGAATTTATTAGGTAGTGTTTAGTTTTTATCTTAAACTGGTTGAGAGAGGTACAGTCCTTAACATGGTTGGGAAGGTCATTCCACATATGCATCAGTGTGTGTTTTATCCTGGTTGCTGCAGTGTTTGGCTTCCTTTACTGCTTCATCTATGTTTCCTTCTCCTTGGTCACCCATGCATAGATGAGTTGCATATCTTTCATGCACTGTTCTATTCCCTGTGTAATTTCCTCCATCTGTACTGACAAAAGCTGTTTTTCCTGTTGGATTTCCTTACCTAGTCATTTATGTTTAAATTTGCTTTAATGTCTTCCAAAGTTATTTTTTAAGAGTTTATTTTCCTCTTCCATGACTTTGCAATTTGTTTCCAATTGATTCTTGTCCTTGCACAAGTCTTTCACTAACCCCTCAAGACCTAAAACTTTGCTACTCAAGTGATCATTACTTTCTTTCAATTTACTAATTATTTCTACACGAGAGTTCACTATAATATCTAATTTTACCAACTTGTTGCGTAGACTGCTCATATCAATGCTTTCTTCATTGAAACTCCCAGGTTCTAGCTCTGTTTTGTTTTCCGCTTGCTGGTGGCCATCTTGAATGTTGTTGTCTGCACTGTAAACACTTGGGCAACTTTTTCTCATCCAAGTTTTTACTTCACTTGGCACAATTGTGTTATCTCACCAATTTTTCCAAAGCACTACACCTTTATGTTCCTTGGGACACCACTCACTATCATCAACCTGTATTACAATACTTAGGATTGTTGAAATATGCTGGATCTCCTCTGATGCAGGTGTTGACACAATGGGTATACATCTGTTCCCTTGTGGCTTACCTCCTGCGTGCTCTGGAATGCACCTTACCTTGAGGTTACCTTGAGGTGCTTCCGGGGCTTAGTGTCCCCGTGGCCAGGTCGTCGACCAGGCCTCCTGGTTGCTGGACTGATCAGCCAGGCTGTTGGACGCGGCCGCTTGCAGCCTGATGTATGAGTCACAGCCTGGTTGATCAGGTATCCTTTGGAGGTGCTTATCCAGTTCTCTCTTGAACACTGTGAGGGGTCGGCCAGTTATGCCCCTTATGTGTAGTGGAAGCGTGTTGAACAGTCTCGGGCCTCTGATGTTGATAGAGTTCTCTCTCAGAGTACCTGTTGCACCTCTGCTTTTCAACGGGGGTATTCTGCACATCCTGCCATGCCTCCTGGTCTCGTGTGATAATAATAGCTTCATAATAGATCCTTCCTCATTCGTGTTTGGATCTTCTTTTCCTTACTAGGTTCGTTATGTGAGGTTCTGGAGTCGTCCAGGATGGTGGACTGGACTGTTTTTTCGACGGAAGCATGGTATACGTTCTGTCGTTCCCATATGCATCAGTGTGTGTTTGTTCGCCCCTGCCCTTCCTTGGGATGTCTGCATTGTGCAGCTTCATGTGCAGGTGCCCACCCTTTCAGTTGCTGACGTTTTGTGTGCCCTTGGCCTTTTGGCTTGGTCTTGTGGTTCTTTTCTCTTTTCAAGCTCTCTTTGCATTGGCTTGAGGAGGATGTGGAGGCGCTTGGGGCCGATCCCGGGTCTGGTGCGTTGGTCTTGGTGGTTTGGGTGTCATCTGCCCTGTTGAAGCTCTTCATGCCGATCCTGCGGGATGGGTTGCAAATAGTTTTGTCTCTGTTTTTTTTCTTCTCGTCTTGTGTATCAGCAGGCGGTGCTTGCTTCTTCCTTGGAATCCGCTTGGGCCCCTGGCTTTTAGGTTTTCTTTGCCTTTTTGTCCTCTGCTGTTTGCAGAGTTTGTGGTGGTGCAGTATCTGCAGGCAGCTTCTTCCAGTTGTCGTCCCATGTCAGACTTGTTGGTTCTCCGGGGGGCCCATGGGGGGGGGGTTCTTCCCGGAAGAGTCGTGCCAAGGCTCGGGGTACCTCCTGTCATGTTAGTCCAGTGGTGCCAGTTTCGGAGCCAGCACAGCCTTTGGATCCGATGACGTCTGGTTGGTACAATAATCATTTTGCTCATAGACCTGTTTCTCATAAGGGGCGTCAACCTTTTCACAGTTCGTCCCATTGATGGGGCGATAGGGGAAAAGCTTGCACTGTTTGCTCATGCCTGGTCTCACGATTTGTGAGCTTTTTGGGTTGTTTCAGATGGTCTGCAGTGGCACTGGGTGGCCCCTCCTCCTTTGGGGGGTTCGGGGCTGGTGGGGCAGGTCTCTTCTTCTGCTCTCTGTCAGGTCATCTCAGAGTGGGTTTGCTTGGGCGTGGTCGAAATGATCCCATCCCTCAGGTGGGTTTCCCGCCTGTTTGCAGTTCTGAAAAGAGACTGTGCGAACCTGGAGTTCATCCTGGACTTGTCCCGTCTGAACCCCTGGGTCTATTGCCCCTCCTTTCGGATGACTACTCTGTCCCAGCTTCGTCTCCTTTTGGAGCCAGGCACTTGGATGGTGTCCCTGGAACTCAGGGACGCATATTGGCACATCCCGATTCATCCAGGGTTCAGGGATTGGCTCGGTTTTGTTGTTGGGCATCAGGCTTACTGGGTTTGTTGCCTTCCATTTGATTTGAATCTGGCACCTCAAGTGTTCACATGCCTTACCCGGGTCATTGTGGACCAACTGCATCTCTTAGGGGTTCGGGTTCCTTGACAACTGACTGGTCTGGGCTCCAAGCCAATCCGCGTGTCTGCTCGCTAGGTGGGTTGGTTCTTTCACAGCTCGCTGGGTTCAGGTTCCTGGTGAACTAGAGGAAGTCTCATCTGGTTCCTGCTCAGGTTTGGTCTTGGCTGGATCTTGTGTGGGACTCTCGGACCGCTTTCATGTCTCTTCCTCCAGAGGCTCTGCTTCTGCTGCAATTCCACCTTCGCTTGTTTCTGGGGAGCTCCTGGGTCACCCGGCAGTTGCTCAAGGGTTTGTGTGGGAGCCTGAACTTAGCTGTGATGGTTTGCCCTCCGGGTCAGGTGTGGCTTCGTCAGCTGGTTCCCTCAGGGACGTTCCATTCACCTCCTCTCGCGAATGCTGGGTTCGGCCCTGGGGGACTTTGTGTCGGATGCAGCATCGCCGGCTTCCTCTTTGGGTTTTTCAGGGTTCATTGCCTTGGTGCCTACCAAAGCCCTCACTCAATGTGTTCGTGGACACGTCATCTCTTGGCTAGGGCTATGTGACCAGTGCTCATCAGGCCGGCCAGGGGTGGTGGGGTCTGTCCTTCTGTCGGGCTCACAGCATGGTGCAGGAGTTTGCGGCAGTGTGGATGTCGCTTCAGAGGGTTCGGGTCGCTCAAGGATCGATGATCCCGCTCCATTTGAACTGCTCCCTGGTGGTTCATTGCTTGAACTGAGGGGGGTTCGATGCGGTCCTTAGCTCTTTGAGGGTGGTCGCTTCAGGTGACTCATCTGCTGAATTCCTCGGGTTTGGCTCTCCTGGCTGTTCTGGTTCGGGGGTGGGGGGGGTGGGGGGGGGTGTCCAATGTCCTGGCGGATGGCTTGTCTCGGTTCATTCCCCCTGTCCACGAAATGAACAGTAGATGCTGACTCCTTCAGTTAGCTCTGCCGGATGTATGGGTTCCTGGATGTAAACCTCTTCGCATCAGCATGGTCAAGGCATATCCTGTTGTATGTGGTGCCCTTCCCCAAGTGCAAGGTCGTCGGGGTTGATGCCTTGTGATAGGATTGGTCAGTGTGGTTTTACCTGTACCTCATCTCTCCGGTTCTGCTGTTGCTCCAGGTCCTAGCCTCCAGGTAAGTCTCTCTTGGAGACTTACCAAAGGAGAGTTCTTGGCTCCTTGGTGGCTGGCCCAGCCTTGGTTTCAGGCGCTGCTTGCGCGGTGTCCGAACCCAAGGGGTCTTCCCACGGCTTCGCCTTTTTCAACAGATCGGACCGGTCTATTACGTAGCTGGTTTGATCTTCTCCTCGGGTCTTTGCATCTGGTCTTTTTGATCCGGATCTACCATCATTTGTATGGTGATCAGGCGGCTTCGTTGATATTGTCCAACCTGCGAGCTTTGTCTCGGCAGCAGTATGAAATTTCCTAGCGGTCCTTCTGTTATTTCTTGTCCCTTCGTAGGTTTCTTTCCCTATCAGTTCGGGTTGTCCTGTCTTTCCTTTCGTGAGTTGTTTCAGGACTGTCATCTTATGCTGAATACTGTCGCCTTGTATTGTGCAGTGCTGGCGCAGCCGCTGCAGCATGCGTTACAGGTGGATGTTACTTGTGTCTCGTGCGTTGTTTCACCTCCGGCCTGCTCATGAGCTGTCTGAGCCATCCTGTTCATTGGACCGTGTGCTCTCCTTTCACTCTTCTCGGTTTGTGGTTGCCCCTTCGGTTCAGGACTGTTTTTCCAAGGCTTTTT